CTTCCCTAATTCTGTCCACCTCCTTAACCCACTTCCCTTCTCCAAATATTCCCCTCCTCTCCCTATGCAGATAGGTGAGCGGCAAATCCAGGCCTACAGGGGTCACAGTGTCAGAGCCTTCCCTCCAGGAAGACCAAAGTAGAAAAATGGGGGAGAAAGGCTGAGAGACAGATCAAAACAGACAGAGGCAGAGATGGTGCTAAGGCCAGGAGGAAGTGGGGGAAGAAGACAAGAGGAAGAACCTGAGCGAGAGGTGCTGAAATTCTTGTTGAAAGGAGGTGGAATTAAATTAGAGATGAGAGACAGCCGGCGCAGTGGCTCACGCCTATAATCCTAGCACTTTGGAGGCCAAGGTGAGAGGATTGCCTGAGTCCAGGGGTTCGAGACCAGCCTGGGCAACTTGGTGAGTGCTCCTTTCTAAAATATATCAAAAAATAACCTGGGCGTGGTGGCGTGCGCCTGTAGTTCCAGCTAATTGGAAGGATCGCCTGAGACCAGCCGGTCAAGGCTGCGGTGGCTGTGAGTGTGCCACTGCACTCCAGCCTGGGCAACAGAGACTCTGACTCAAAAAAAAAAAAAAAAAAAAAAAGAGATGAGAGACCAATGGAGATACAACAGGAGATCAGGCCTCTGCCTCCCTGAGCCCCCTCAGTTAGAGGGTAAGCTGGAAGGAGGCCTGAGGCCTGGCCTGATAGTTCTCTGTGTGGGGGTCTAGCCCTTAAACCCAGCTCACAGGTCAAACCTTTCCTTGCTTTCTCTCCTGCGTTTGCCTGCATCTGGCCCTGAGTGTCTTCCCCTCTCCCCGCCTGCATTTCTTACCTTCACGAGGCTTCTTGTTATTCCGCTAACCGTCTCTGCCCTTTCTTTGTCTCTCTTCTCATTCATCTCTTGCACGTCTCTGCCTTCACTGCCTTTCTACCTCTATCACTGCCTCTATCTCCGTATGTGCATGTCTCTCAGTTCTTTTTATTTATTTATTTTTGAGCTGGAGTCTCACTCTGCAACCCAGGCTGGAGTGCAGTGGCCGCTCCCGGCCACCGCAGCCTC